TTGTGGAACCACAATACTGAAATGTATTCTTTAGTATTTGTAATTTGCTAGCTTTCTAATTTTTTTACAGCTTTTCAAAAACTTCATATTTACTTCAACTATTTTTAGCAATGGTTGCTTGCCGTGCTATGCCTATGCCTCGACAAAAGATTACGTTTAATGTTGATCATTCGTTTGTTATACTTCTTAAAACGCTGTCGGATGATGTGCATCACGTTTTATTTTATGGCCGAATTGCGTCGCCTAATGTTTGAACGTTTGTTATATTTATAATGCTTAAGCTATAATGTGGCACCTATTTACACAAATGTATTGTGATTTTTTGAATTCATGGTACCTATTTGTAACATTTTAAGAAGCACGTATTTCTAATATCTAATTAAAAGTGATTTCTTATTCTGTGTTTTGGAATAAATCTGGCATTTTTGATCTATAAATCAGCTTATACCCTCTACTCTATCTAGTGCGCTTGGTTTTGTTTTACTTACTCCAAAAAACATTCCATCTACTCTTGTGACAGGAAGCTAAACAATGAATTTTCTTGCCTCCTCTTTTTTTCTTCTCTAACAACAAATTAATGAAAGGTCGGTTTACATCCCACTTGACAAGCAATGTTAAAAAAACGTTTGGTACGTTAAACGAATGTTGCATTTTGAAACAACTCAATTAAACAAAACATCAACGTTATACCAACGATACTTGAATGGCTTTTCTTTCTAAACCGTGGATACGACGTTTTTGTAATGTTAAAAATTGTAACCTTTTGGACTTGCGTCGCTGGAACGGGACATTATTACGTTAAAATAACATTCAGAAGGCTAACGTTATACCAATATTACTTTGACAACGTTTTTATGCAAAACCTTGTTGCGATGTCATTATAATGTTAAGTAATGTGATGTTATTAGCGTATGTTGACGGAACCATACATAACTACGTTAGTTCAACTTTTAAAAGCTTAACATTACAACAACGACATTTTGGTACTGTTAAGTTGCACAGTTACAGTAACGTTCTTGTAATATTAAAAATGTGCCTTTGGGCATTGCGCAACGAAAAAATAGCTGGTCGGTGACTCATCACTCGGTTTAGCTTCATTTGCAGTTTAACATGTTTGTTGAATGTTGGTTTTCTGTGAATTGAGTGATGTGATTCAAAATAAGTGGAGGATAGTTTGAATTAAGTGCTTAAAAATTGTGGAGTTTTTTGGGTTAGACATTGGCGATTGTGGTTTTTTTCATCAAGGATGAACGACAACGACTTCAACAAATAAGCTGAATAAGCAATCCATTTACCTACGGCGATTTTTACGTGTTGGATTTCTCTTTGTATTTTCTACTTTGTACGCTCATCTTTTTATTTTAAATCAAACAGTTCTACCAGGATAAAAGTAAGTAAAAGACGTAAATTATTTTATGGATGTATAACCTTACTTTTATAGAATCTTCCACAATGTCTTTTTCACCAAAACATGACGCGTTCGTCTTAAAGGAACATTATCGAAGTGCAAGTCTACAGGATGGAACATGGACGTATTCCATTCAGTCCTGTCGCCAGCAATTCTATCAAGAATTTCCTGATATCCAACGTTTTCCTACAAGGTATTTTCCATTTACAAATACTCCATGATGCCGAACAACAGTTTTACGATGATCGATTAATTAGCAGAGGACTGTGGTCACCACGTTCTCCAGAACTAAGCCCGTTAGATTTTTTTTTTTGATTTTGAAATACAATATTTTTCGAAATCGTCTGCCCATCACTGAGGAACTTCAAAAAGCAATTGAAGAGGAACTAATGAACATTACACCAGTAATGTTAGAATGAGTTTTCGATGATATGAAAATATGTGTGTAACTGTGCATTCTTTATAATGGTGGGACATTTTTAACAATTTTGTGAAGTGATTGATGTGAATGAAATAATTTTTTATACATTAAATTTCTGGTAAAAAATTATTTGAATTATTTTGAATTTGAATTTTTTTACATTGTGCACTTTAGTATCAAAGTTCAAAAATGTTTATTAAAGTACACAATCTGTGGCAATACTAAATTACGTTTATGTCATCCTTGTACGTTGACGGCCGGTATTATAAAGCCAGACTTAACTTTGTTGTCAGCTAACGGTGTTGTTAAGACATTCCTTAACAACACTGTTAGCTTACAACATAGTAAATATGACTTTAATAATACCGACCGTCAATGTATAAGGATGATATAAACGTAATTTAGTATTGTTTAATAAACATCTTTGTACCACGTTTATACAACATAAGAGAGTTACATCGCATTGGCGTTTGTTTCAAACGTTCAATTAACGTTAAATGCTGATGTTATAAAGTGTTATATGATGTAACGTTTGCTAAACGTAGGTATTTAGACGTTACAGAGAAACGTTCTTGAAGGCGGACATTAGCAGTCGCGGTGACGTTAATAGTAAGTTAATAACGTTTATTAAACGCTAATGTTGCACAATTTTGTCAAGTGGGATACAGCCTAGAGTTATGTATGTTTCGTGTTAAAGATATATGTAGATTTGTACCTTGTTTCCCATGAACTTATTCTTACATTACATCCACCATTTCCTCGTTCAAAATAACGAATAAAATTAGAAATAAGTTCCTTACTTTTTCTTGGTAAATCCGAATGCATTTTTGGGTTATACGTTATACCCCTTTTGCCGCAGAATATCGCAGTGAGATTTACGGAAAATACGCTTCTGTAATTGTTCGTTATGAAACTAACGGATTTTTTTATCGTATAATGTAGCAAAAGGCGATAAAAGCAAACGCACAGTTGCCAAATTTGACCGTGTCGCAATGTAAACGTAAACTACCACAATTTCGGTAGACAGGAAACCTGAAAACAAAAAGACCCTTTTCAGTAAAGGTTTTTGGTTTTATTTTTTAGATAACGCCACAAATAATTCCACCGTTAATGTGGTTTAAAATGATTTTTTTGATTTTGTCCTGACCAAAATGGCGAGACCGAAATGTTCTGCCCCGACTAAGAAATGAAAGGATTGTATTTCGAGCTGCCCACCAATTTCTCTTGCTTCTTCAAACGCGCAATGAGGGCTTACGTTACGTACTGTTTTATTTATTATCACAATACTAAAATGTATTCTTTAATCTTTGCAATTGCTAGCTTTCTAATTTTTTCACAGCTTTTCAAACATTTCATATTTACTTCAACTATTTTTAGCGATGGTTATGCTTGGGCGCTGTTCAAGACCTAGGCCTCGACAAAAGATTACGTTTAATGTTGATCATTCGTTTGTTATACTTCTTAAAACACGGTCGGAAGATGTGCATCACGTTTTATTTTATGGCCGAATTGCATCGCCTAATGTTTGAACTTTTGTACCTACTTATATAAATGCTAAGCTATAATTGGCACCTATTTACACAAATGTATTGTGATTTTTTGAATTCATTGTATTTGTAACATTTTAAGAAGCATGTATTTTGTAATATCCAATTAACAGTTATTTCCTGTTGAGTGTTTTTTTAATATAAACCGTGGTTTTAGCATTTTTGGTCTATAAATCAGATCTGGTTATATTAGCCATACTCTTTTTCTAGTAGACTTGGTTTCAAGTACTCCACTCTGGTGATCCGTTCTGTGCTCTTTTCGTTTTTTTCTACCACTACCTTCTTAAAATGAGTCGAGTACAGAGTTATGTCTAGTGTGAAAGGTATCGATTAGTAGGTACATGGTTTCACATGATCATGTTTTTACAATTATATTCTTAGTCATATGTCTGTGCATCAAACAGATCGAACTTGAGATATCAGGGAACCGCCAACTGATAACTGCACCAATTTCACTATTTGGCTTTAATGTATAAGTGGAACTACCTATCTTTATTCAACAGAAGTAGATTCTTGTTAGGAGCCGTAACTGTATAGCAAAAGTGAATTAATTTTGGAAATAAGATATAGCAGCCAAACGTGTCTAATTGTCAATTTTTTACATTCTTAAAATTATGGAAGGTAGTTATACACGAGCAATACAGTAGGTACTAGCTCGTAACAGAATTAGAGAAGAGTGTGAATGGTTTAAATACTTATTAGGTACTTATGTTCTTCTTCTTTTTTTATAGGGTAGCAAAAGTTAAAAACCTTTTTTTCATTTTAGGAGTTGTTATAAGCGCCAACCGCTGTGCAATTATACGTCTAAAATGTGCATTTCGGGCGGACCACCCTTTTCTCTTGTTTCTTCAATGTAAATTTGAAAATTTAAGAGTTACGATTTTTTCGGGACAAATTGCAGCGCCTACAAATGCCATTAGCTAAAACATTTCGCAAGAAAAAGATGCTATGTCTATAAAATTTCTCACTGTGAATAAAAATATATACCTATACTTACCTATGATTGTGTTTTTTCCTTCTCGCAACCTGAATCTATTAATTTTTAGTGCATTTTCTTACATAAACTTATTTTAATTTTATAAAGTCAATGCACAAAGCTTGTTGAAACGTTGAGTTCTGTAGCTATAGTTGTAATAGTTGTATGTGTTACCGGACAAACCCGATTTTAGGACAAACTAGTTTGGACTAGGATGATCTAGATTTTCCTGAGCGCCCTAGGATAAACTAGTTTGGCCTTATTGATTACAGGCTGAACTGGTTTCGCCTAACAGCGTTAGGATAAATCAGATTGGCCTGGTTGAATTGTTAGGCCGAACTAGTTTCGCCGGGTAGTGAACGGATAAACTAGATTCGCAGTGTTCAAGGCCAGGCCAAACCCAAGCAGCCCGAAGGGGAGGGTTGCAAGTCTCGACGTGCTCGTCGCATTACATTGTTTGTTCCTCCCTCTCACTTGCTCAGTCAGTATCCGGGGTATGTAGAGTGCGAATCTGAGTGCGTCTTAGTTGTTATTTGGTTGTTCGTTGTGCGTTGCACCGTGCTTTGGAGTGTGTCGTGTGTGAATATTATTGTTATTGAGCTGAAAGTGTGGTAGGTACCAGTAACGTTTACTTTAGTAGGTGAGACTATGGAGGAAGATTCTGTTAATGGTGGGCATAGCCAGAAAGAATGGAGAGAAAGGTTCATGACTACAGTTTTACAAAGCGAAAACGATAAATCAACACATTTCAACGTATTGACAAAAGATAAGTACCAACAACTTATAAATGAAGTCGAAACTGCTGCAAACACAGATAAGAAGACCCCGTTGCAGCAGAGACGCCTGAAACGATTTAGTGTAATTGACATTGGAGGGGTAAAAAAATTAGTGGCAGCCCGTGAGAGAAACGAAAACATCAAGTACTATCTGACGGTCGATGAACTGTACGATGTTATCGATGCTGCTCACGTGGCAGTTGGTCACGGTGGCCGTGATAGAAAGCTTGCCGAAACGTCAAAGAAATATGCCAATATTACGAAGGAAGAAATACAGCTTTATCTGTCAATGTGCAAAGTATGTCACATGAAAAAAAACAAAAAGAAACAAGGTTTGGTCTCAAAACCAATTTTACATTCGGAAATGAATAGTAGGTGCCAAGTTGATCTTATCGATTTTCAGACTCAACCAGATGACAAATTTAAGTTTATAATGGTTTACCAAGATCACTTAACAAAATTTGTTTTGCTTCGTCCATTGCAAAGCAAAAGAGCTGAAGAAGTTGCCTACCAACTGAATGACATTTTTTTAACTTTAGGAGCCCCGTGTATTCTACAGTCTGACAATGGAAGGGAATTTGTTAATAAAGTTATTTCTGAAGTAACACAGTTGTGGCCAGAGTTGAAGATTGTGCATGGTAAACCGCGGCACAGCCAAAGTCAGGGCTCAGTAGAAAGAGCCAATCAAGACATCGAAAACATGCTTGCATCTTGGATGGCTGATAACAAGACAACAAAGTGGTCGGAGGGGTTACGGTATGTACAATTCATGAAAAACAGAGCTTTCCATTCTGGTATTAAACAATCTCCTTATAAAGCTATGTTTGGTATGGATCCTAGAGTCGGACTCTCTACTTCATCTCTGCCCTCTGAAATTTTCAAAGATATAAATGATGAGGAAGATCTGACAAAGGTTATAAACAATAACCTAACACCTGCAAGTGAAACAGCTGATGATATCTTAATGGAAGAAGATGAAAATATGGTTCAGGCTCATACCTCAACTGACAATCAAATAAAACATTCAAGAAAAACCGCTGCTGAAGGTCTAAGAAAGCAAGCAAAAAAAATGAAATCCCACAGTGATAAGTCACATCCACCAGCCAATATTGGAGATAACGTCATGATACCCATTCCCGATGTGGACAAGTCTAAAGTTGACCTAAGGAATATCATTGGCGTTGTTATTGATATCACTGATGAGGGGCTGTACAAAGTTGGAACGAAACATGGAATTCTTCAAACACTATATTGCAGGTAGACATACGTTTAATTTATTTATTCAATGATTTTTTTATTTAAATCAGCCTAAATATAAGTCTTACAAATGTTAAAAGTTTGTTTATCAAGAATACAATTTTCGGATTTTTTTCAGAACCCAGTTTGACGTGAGCGCCCAAAGATTCATTACTGAAAATGATGTGAATATGGAGAGTGAGATTTCTTTAAGAACAGCAGCAACAAAACATTCCATTGGTAGCGGTCAAGGATTTCTAAAATGTTCTTGTACAACAAGCTGCAAAACAAATAGGTGCCTTTGCAAAAAGAAAAATGTACTCTGCAATTCTAAATGTCACTCCAGTTTGTCATGTAACAATAAGTAATCAATAAACACGTTTAGTTTTGTTCCTGAGGATTCGAGATGTGAATTATTCATTACCCTTTTAAACTTTGTATGAAACTCTAGTATTACTTTGAACCCCCACACCCCGGCTGCTTGGGTTTGGCCTGATCTTGAACCCGGCAAAACTAGTTTATCCGTACGCTACCTGGCCAAACTAGTTCAGCCTAACAATTCAACCAGGCTAATCTGATTTATCCTAACGCTGTTAGGCGAAACCAGTTCAGCCTGTAATCAATAAGGCTAAACTAGTTGATCCTAGGGCGCTCAGGAAAAACTAGATCATCCTAGTCCAAACTAGTTTGTCCTAAAATCGGGTTTGTCCGGTAACATATATATATTTTAAAATTAAACCATGAATTCAAACGTTTACAATGAGCACCTTGCACATTACATAATTTTCGTAATGTTTACATTTATTTGTAATTTAATAAAAATATGCTGCGTAGGTAAATAAGATCACAATGGTAATCATAACACCTATCGCCCAGATTAAAAAAAAAGTACCTATGCATTTTTCGGATTGCCCTGACGTTCATGGTAACGTACATTAAACCATGCGGTCTACATTCTAGAAGGAATTTTACAAAATTACTAACTTGCACTATAGAAATTACTAAAGTCACTTTAACTGGAATGTTTCACCAATTCAAACAAAAATGACTGTATACATGTTTATATAATGGATCTTTGATCGTCAACAAAAGGTAATCGGTATAAAATGAAACCAATGAAGATACGCATCAAGTTACCATACATCATGGATTGTACGCTAGCGACTGAAATAGAACACTGCGTCCTTGTCCGCTTCTTAGAACATACGTGATCAAAGATCCATTATACAAACTGTATGTGTAAATCTGATTGTTTTAGTCTCTTACTCCATTCTTATTTGATAATACCTTTTACATTACTGGGTCACACGATGGCTTGCAATTCCTTACATTTTTTACAAGATACTGAGAACAAAAAAACACACACATGCCTTATCGTCCCCTTGAACGTTGCAAACTACTTACCTGTTCTGATTTTAGCAGTTATTCCATTTCGTTTTTGATTACAGGAAATCCGTGTTTTATATGGCACCTCACGTGTACGTTTAAGTTATCTTTGCGTTTACACTTATAGTTACAACCTTTAATGGCACAAATAAAAGCTGGTTCTTTTCCGCATTCATACCGTTGATGGCGTGTCAGAGAATGAGAGTACTTATAATTTCTTCCGCAGTCGGCACAGTGGTATAGAATTAAACCTACAAAACGTTTAATATTAGAATCACATTGTCAAAGACTTTTTGGAACACATCTTTACACTATGTTAAATCGAAGATCCAAACTAAATAAACTAATTCCAAAAGTCTAAATTTTCTAATTCAAATAACAAATGACAATTACCACTCTATCTTATCCAAAAGACCGATATACGTTATTTTAGGAACGCTTGTAGTTTGTGCATTTTATCATTTTGGCACATCTGGTGAATTCAACTAAACGAAACCTAAAAAACATCTTCTACAATATTATAATGGTCCGAACGTCTTTGTAAAAAAAACCACCTAGTATTTGAGCAACATATATTTGAATCGTTCACAAATTTAAGCTGTGTAACATTATACAATGTTTCTTCAAAGTATCCTTTCTCTTGCACTTATAGACACAGAAAGGACATTGGAATTGAGGCTTCTTTCCACATTCATACTTGACATGTCTCGATAAATTATAACTTTGATTGTACGCTTTTCCACAACTGTCACACCGATGCGAAGCGATTTTGAAATATTGCTCGGGAGCAGCTACAAGCAATGATAGCATATTACACAAACAGGATTATTATCTATCAAAAGATGGTATCTAGGCGCACAGCTTTTGATACAAAAATTAAAATAGTACTACTTCATCTTCAAATTTTCAGCTTTACTTAAATTGTATAAAACATTAAAAGATTAGCGTTATTTCTTAAAAATAAAACTCCCCACATATAGCGGTCCAAGGTATGGTATTTAGCCTTTAGTATTTTTGTTCGAATCTCGGGTAATTTTTTTCATCTTGATTGTTGAAAATGTTGACCGAACATGCATAAAATTCGTTTCTTCGGTACTGGATGAATGGGATGCATAAATAACGACATCTGATAATTAAAGTTATACCCGAACGTAATAATTGCAAATAAGTTAGTAAATGTGTTATGAATTTTAAAAGCCGTTTGGATATATTTAAATTCGCTGGTGGAAGGTGATAATAGCAAAATTGTTTTCTTTGAATGATGGTGGTAATTTGTAAAGTAGGTATATTGTTTTAAGCGCATTGTACACTTATTTATTTAGGAAAATTAATTGCGTTTACACAGCAGTAATGATGACAACAATTTACGGGTGGATAATGAAGATGATTTATAAAAACCAGACGAAATATAATTTTCGCGGAATCAAATAGTAATAATCGTCTATACAATATGAATTCTGGCACTTTTACTATTTAAATTCTTCAGAAGAATATGAATGTTTATTGCGCATATGCTGTATCAAATTACTTCTTAGATGTGATTTTTTACCGCAAATATCGCAGATTTGTAGAGGATCTTTTTGACATTCGTACCTCAGGTGCCGTAGCAAAGAACTTCTCAGTTTGTATACCTTGTTACATGTTAAGCAAGTGGCAGCACTTGCAGGTGTCCTAAGCGGTGTTCCTAAAATTATTCAAATTAAGCATCTTCGACGACATAATAAAAAAACGAATGCTTAATATTAATAAAAGCATTTTTAAATATTTCATTGGTCATGGTTTACTATGCGTGCAATTATGCACAAACGTAGAACGCAAAATCAGTAGGCCTGTAAATATCGGTTCATAAATACTAATGATGTAATATAGTCTGTAAAATGAGTAAGTTTCGATTTCGGATTAGAGCTTAATTAACGCATGCCATCAGTTTATATATCTTTGCTGTTCTAACACATAATAATTGTGGTAGAAGGCAAGTGGGTAGCCAGTTTTGTCACCGCCGGTGGTGAACTAAGAGGACCGCTCTACGTTAAAGGAATTTTAAATGGAAATAAATGCACCGAAAAGACATACCAATAGGTAAGTTCTTCTTAGTTCACCACCCGCGGTGACAAAACTGGCTACCCACTTGCCTTCTACCACAATTATTATGTGATAGAACAGCAAAGATATATAAACTGATGGCGTGCGTTAATTAAGCGCTAATCCGAAATCGAAACTTACTCATTTTACAGACTATAGTCACCGTCACTGTGCCGTAGGTTGAAACTGACATACGCCACAGGGCTCTGTTAGTACTCAGACTCACCACCAGCTTCCAAGTTACAGTTTTCAGGTTGTGAGGCTCACTCTAACGGTAGTAACAGGCATCCACAAAGATGGATCCAAGCTCCCTTTGCCAGAATATGAACACACACTTACACACACCCTCTCTCACCCTCTCTCTCACACACAAAATGACCAAATATCAAAAATTGGGAAGGAAATGAGGGCCGGAAATGCCATTTGTAATGTGTAAACGAGGTCGGGAGGGAGTGAAGAAGTATAAATTTCTGTAAACCACAAAGCTACAGGACAATTTTATTCCTTTCTTAATATAGATATTTGCACAAGTCACAACTCTGACAATTCATATCCTTTCTTCGTATAATAAGGAGGTCGCACTCTTAATTCAAAATGTCAACTGTATGAGTTTTGACTTACAACAATTGAATCATTTCTTTGTTAATGCATTTATTTTGGTCAGATTGTTGCGTCACCAAGCCCCAAACTAATATGTTGTAGTTTTCTTCAGAATAATCTCTTCATTAGCGTTTCATGAACTGTATCCTCAAAAAAACACACAGAATAAGCACATTAGTCGTATAGGTGTGAGCAATCATTACCACGGTAGAATGTTTTCTCTTATTCACTCGTACAATATATTTAATCAAACCTGATAGTTAAAATCGGCTACTTGTAAACATATTACATATGTATGTTCTCCACTTATTGGCACCTTAAGTAGACATAATAACAGAAACAGTAGTAAAACAAGCATTACTAAATAACATTTCGAGTCACAGCTAAAAAAATGTTTGTAAACAAAATTACTTACTGCATGCTTACTAAGTTACATTTTTGACATGATCAATATGTCTACACCGCATATGATTGTCAAGGGTTGCCCGTCGTTTTGCCTTATAGGGGCAATATATACATGCATATTGCGCTTCAATGCCGCATTCATATCTTTGATGTAGCAGTAAACTTTTCTTCCACTTATAATTTCTGTTACACTGCTCACAGGTATAAATCAGTTGCTCCATATTTATTCCTAAAAAGATAATTTTGAACAAATTGACAACAGAAGTTAAGAAATTTAGTTCCTGCGGCCCAGGAAAACGGAAATTATGAAATAATTCTTTTAACACCTATCGGTAAGAAAGTGTAACATAACATAAATAAGCAACAATTTGCTATACTAAATTATTCGCATCGTTTATTGATGTTTAACGAATCCACCATTTCAGAATGTTGTTAAAGATTAACAGAAGACTATAACTTGCATGTCTTCTTCGACCTTTTTCGAAACGTCTCTTTAGACACACTACAACTTGAATTGCAGTGCTCTAACTTTTTTGCAATGTTTTGAAACCGCAGTTGATTATTTCAGTATTCGGTAAACGTAATTTTTCTGAAGCTACTTTAGAAACAAAGTTTCGTCTTTAAAAAGGGTGAAAAATGTGATTTTCTTCTCTAGCGAGGAAAGTAAAAAACAACTGCTGCGTTAATCTCAATAATGACATTTAAAATTGAACCATACCCCGTATCTACTCGTAGATTGCTATGCGTCAAACTTCAGTATTGCATACGATAATTTTTCAATTTTGATTGTAGTTTCAGAAACAAATATGTGTAAAACTTGAGAAGAAAGTCCACTTTCTTCTCCAGTTGTACAAATAACTATTTCACAACTTAAAAGAACTCGATGAAAGACTCAATATCTTAGCAATATAAGAAATAGAAGCTAAAATGTACGACCGGACCCGACAAACCAGGAGCTTGCAATACCTTCTAGAATGCCTTTGTTTAGTCCCCTACCAACCCTCCTTGTCCATCAACCCGACAAAAACGGAGCTAGTTCTCTTCACAAGAAAAAGAAAGGTAGAGGGTATTCGAGCTCCCCTGCTCCCTCATTTCCAATGTCTCCAATGGTTGCAAGGATTGCGAAATCTGTGACTTGTTTAAATACTTCATTAAAATTTTACTTGAAATAGAAAATTTTAAGACGTTAATACATAATAACAATAATACCTACGAACTTAAACAGTTCTTATTATTACAATTTGAACAAAACTTGTTTTGAAGAAATATTAATTTTGATACCCCCTAGTTACCATTTCAGTAGAGGATTAGAATTCACCCTCTACACTATAATATAGCTAACCTACAAAACTATTGGATACTATTGTAAGTAAAACACTGATTAATAATGTAATAGTGTAAATAGAAATTTAATCAAAGCACGAGAAATAACACATACAACGAAAATGAGTCTCTCTTCGTGTGCAACTCAACAAGACACTTAATTGACATTCATGCGCGCACACACCACTTCCTTCCTCAAACGCGTCAACTTCAAATTATAACAGATACCTACCTACCACTAGTTTACTTACATATGAATTTAAACTAACATTTGGATCAAGAAATCCATATTTTTTAATTTATATATCATTTAGAAGTTCTACATTTCGCCAGACGAGATCGTTGATATACTTATAGGATACCACACAAACACGGAGGGCCCGGTATTCCTGGATATAAATCCTATGATGCGTTTTGCGGTTATCCAAATAACCCTCCTAAGGTTGTTGCTATTGCAAATATTGTTTTATTGCAGCTACGAAGGCATTAAAGTACTAAATATAACGCATATTTTATTTTATGTCTTACTAACATATAATAGCACATTTTATATCTGTGATACGCGGGCATAAAGTACCACTTTATGCCCTAGGGCATTAAGTATCACCATAGTAACTCATTTATACTTAATGACAAAACAGAAACGTCAATTATTAAATGTCAATACCTATTAACTGTCACAAGTGCGAGCCGTAGGGCTCTCCGTGCGAAAGATTCCTTACAGATAAAATACATGTCACTTCTTAAAGAAAAACGCAACAATGGAACAAACTTTATTAACATTTCATAAATACGTCCTGAAAAATAGCAGTATTTATTTTTTTTCATTAATATTAAAGGTGCAATTACTGAAAGATCCCGAAAAGATAGCATTGCCACCGTTTACACTTACTGGTGAATTAGTATTTGCCAGATGATTTGACGCTGTACTAATATTTAGCGATTCTCCCGCAATTAGCTTAGCTACCTTGTTCTTGCTTGTTAAACTGTCTTCAATATACCCTTCTACTACAGTTGTACTCTTCCATCCCTCATGTCTCTTTAGTGTGGTCATGCTAGCACCGGCATCCGCGAGTAACGTAGCAGAAGTTCTACGCATGCAATGACCCGTATAACTTTCAGGATTCTTTAAGCCTAAGTAACTTGCAATTGTAGAGGGGATTTTCCCAAACGTGTTCTTCCCAACAGGTTGAGCAATGCAAAGCCCTTTCCTGTAGCCTAAAAACAACCGCTTCAAGTTGCAGTGCTGCGGACGCAGTGCTAAATACTTTTTTACGGTTTGGATGGCTTCCATTTCCGTCTCATTAATAATGGAAAATATTCGCTACTTATCAGTTTTTGTTTGAGGAATTGTAACCACAATAACTTCACCTCTATCTTCTACATCACTAATAAGCATGTCGCATAGTTCTTGCCTTCTGCATCCGCCGTAGATCCCAAATATTAGTGCCACTTTCACTAATAAATATTCGTGGTTAGGTGCTTGCCGCAAAAACTTTAAAATATCCTCGCGCGTTAATACGCTTGATTTCTTGGACACGTGACCTTTGGAGACGTTTTTTAAAAATTGCGTCAATTTTGCATAATTTCCAATATTAACATTTTTGTTCAAAAGCAGCGTTTTTTTAATCATAGAAAATTTAGTCCATAAAGACGTTGGTTGAAACACTTCAGACTATAACACACAGCCATTAAACAAATCAAAAGAAATGAAAATACTAAACTCACCAATTCCTGAAAGTGCGCTAAGAGTACTACTTCATTAATAATTCCTGTACCGTTGTTGGCTAACCATTTAACAAACTTTGAGTATTCCAGATTATATAAACTTTTAGACTTATGTGGAATTAATTGGTCCGCTGCAAGATTGGCCTTATTTTGAATACTTTCTGGAACTTCATCCATGATGAATTGAGTAAACGTTTGACGTTTGGATGGTTTCAATAGTAACTATAGTTTCAATCACATTAACAAATTCGAACCACTCATACTTGATCAAACATAATGAATTGTTTTGTAAACGAATATTTACTTTGACGAAAGAAACTATTTTGTATGTACCACGGGCATAAACTGATGATTATACTCTCGGGCGACTAAAAAGCTCTCGGGCCTATCGGCCCTCGAGCTTTTTAACTCATCGCCCTCGAGGATATAAACATCAGCTTTATGCCCTTAATACATAAATAACTAATTCATCAAAATAATTTTTTTACAACTGTTTTTACATATATGTATGTATTGTGTGCAACAGTGTCGACCTCAGTTGGAAAACTGTATATTTTATACAGAGACCTGCTGTCTCTGATTTTATACACCAAATAAGTTTTGTTGATAAAGCAAAAACGACTTTCCGCCGCTTCTTGTTGCTCTTTGAATGAATAAAATGAAGTCATAATTGGTTTTCTTATAAAGACATTGTTGTTCCATTACAATCGGCGAAAAAGAACCGACTACGGTTTTCATCAGAAAAATCCTAAGAAAAATTAGAAACATTACAATACATTGCGTTATTGCGTTATTAATAACAAAATCATGGACATGATTTTAAAAAAAACAACAAAATGCATTAAATTACCCTTCTAAAACTTCTTTTCCATTTAATTGTCTTTATAGTGTCGGAGATTTTATTTTGTTCTATTTTAAATACAAAAAAACCTCACCACGCTCTAGTCAAGTGATTTAGCAAGAAACATGGCTAATTAAAAAATGATGCATTGATTTTACGACATTTTATTACAGACAGTTTTTAACAGAAATAATGTGATTGATGTTTAACACTGATATGTACTTTCAAATTTCCTTTCTGTTTGAATGATCGCTTGCAATAGACACACACAAACGTTCCTTGCTTATTGCAACACTCAAATCTAATGTGTCGACGTAAATTAGGTCTATGTTTGTAGGATTTTCCACAGTCAGGACAACCATGTCTTTGTGAAGATTCATCAATTGTACCTAAAAGAAAACTATAGTCGTACTGCTGGTTATAACTAGCTTCATAATGTTACGCTATGAAGATAACGAAAAAGTCGAGAAAGGTACCGCTCTAGAACATCTGTTTTGCTGGTTCAAATTCGTGTTTTATTGTTCGACGATTACAAATCAAATCATACATTTCACATTCTCTTTCCACAAAATAAAATAAATTGAACTGCGCAAGGCAAGGGAAAACCAAATAAATTTAAAGTTTTGTACAACATCCTTACCGCCATTGTAACCCTTGTTATTTGTGGATACTAAAAAAGGACAGAAGTCAACAATTATTTACTTAGGATATACAGAGTGGCCCAACGAGAAGTATACAGAAGGCTTTTAGGGTATTAAATTTAGAAATTTCGAAAAATCCTCGAACACGTCAATTTTGTATTCGAGGGGGACAACTTTTGGAATACAAATCACGAACCCAAGTCTTCACCTCTCTACGTAGGGAGCTTAACCCCTAAAATTGTTCATACTTTAACAATATCGCAAGTGTTATAGTTGATAACCCACCGCTAACCTCGCCGCTAACTAACATTGACCCTCTTACCTATTGTGATAGTTCATCTGCTCGTGATAATTGCAAGTTTAAATTCACCAACGTTTCCCAAATAAATGTTCGAGAGGTCATAAATACGTTAAAGTGCAAGTGCAAACTTTATCAAAAGAAACGTCCGCCTATTGGTTAGACCTATCACAGTAATTATCATCTCCATAATTAATTCTGGTAGTTTTCCGGATACGCTGAAATCTGCTGTTATTATTCCAATACCCAAGAAAGGTAATAAGAATGACATCAGCGCGTACAGGCCTATATCCATTCTTCCCATATTCTCGAAAATATGCGAAAGAATTTTAAATCAACAAATAATGTCTTATTTGGAAGCTAGTAATTTACTTCATGATAAACAGTTTGGCTTTCGTAAAGGTAGAGGTACCTCGAATGCGATCATTGAATTTACGAGGAGCACGCTCAAGGCATTTGAAAATGGATTCCACACTGTGGCAACGTTCATAGACATGTCTAAAAGCATTCGACTGTGTTAATCACGAAATTTTAATAAGAAAACTAAGACTTGTTTATAACTTCGACTCGAATAGCTGTTCCATAATATCATCGTACCTAAGTGGAAGATCCCAGTGTGTCCTTTTTAATAATGTGGTCTCGCATAAGCTTACTCATTGCTTAACATGCTTGATATACAAGCTATTAATAAGTACAAGAACGACCGTGGTTTAGTCAATACTCAATGAAATCATAGACTTCCCTGCGGATTTGTTGTGTAATGTGTACGAAATTTTAGTTCTAGGTAATTTGTTTATCTTAGTTGGTATTTAAGTTGGTAATTCCCCTTTTTCTAGTGTAATTTTCAAATTTTCACATAACCTGTCATAAAAAAAACACCACGTTGTTAGACGTTTCTTCCTGTTAAGCTGTGGTCCGCTTTGGGGCCTCCCTTTTAATTTAATTATGTTATAAAAAGGATTGTTTGTTGTCCTTCAGACACAGGGACTGCGGAGGTGCATCGGCATTAAACTGAATTTATCTGGACCCCTAACAAACTAAATTGGACTTTTTTTCACATTTACGTTTTAGGTTTCAAGCTAGTCAAATCCATTGTTATTGTTACAGATTCGGAGAAATTCAGTATAATGGCGACCTAGCTTACAATAGTTTGATTTTAATATTTCAATTTGGCACCATTCACGCAAAAGCTACTGAGACATACACGAGATGGCGCGTCATTTTTACATGAATACACTTAATCTATGAGGTTTCCGTCTTTGCAGAGGGAGTACCTACATGGACGTTATGAATTGATTTTAGAAATTAAACCAAACGTTTACAGATCCACAAATTTAAAGTTTCCAAATGTCAAGTGTTGTGTTTATCTACGCCGCCAACTTAAAATTTGTCAACATAAAAAGGTGTTGTCAACTTAAGACACTTCTAATGTGTCCTATAGTTTTGGATGATTACTTTTTTCTACAACTGTCAAAAAAAACCTGTCATTTTCTGACGGATTTCGAAACGCGAAGTACTAGATTTTTAAACGGTTAATTAATAAGTAAGGTTGCTATTGACAACGTGCGCGAAATCGTCAACAGTGAAAAATAGTATATTAAGATACAAGTGTATAATCAAGTCTTTAAAGCACGCGCAACGAGTTTAAGGGCACGACGCAAAGCGGAGTGCCTTTAACGTTGCAAGTGCTTTAAAGAACAATTATACACGTGTATCTTATAGTATTTTTTATTATACCTGCAGTATAATTTAAAAATAGGAAATACAATGAAATCATATTGACGTTATACTCGAATACATGTCTAATTAAGTGGGCTGGGTGTTCGTAATTTCACGATTGCCATGGAAATGTCACTTGACGTTTGCTTATAAAAATCATCGTCTTTGTGAATAAAACGATTTCCGTTGAAAAAGATAATACACCGTCCATTAAATCGCTTGTTGTGAAATCTAAACAAACGTTGGTAGGTGTAAAATCCAAATCCAGTAAAGCCTATTATAAGGAATATGAAAAGTTGTTTCCATGGATGAATAGGAAGTTACTTACGAATAAAGTCTTAAATGCATCCATAATGCTGGCATATATGAAGGAAATGTCAAAGGTATTTAAATCTTCTATATTTTGGTGCATTCATTCAAAACTTTAAAGCAATGCTGCGATTAAAAAGTGGAACAGATTTGGAAGCATACCATAAATTACCCGCGTTTGTGAAAGCTTAAACCAAAGGATAGGTACAAGCCAAAGAAATGTTCTGCATTTACAGAAAGCGACCTAAGACGATTTTTTTATTTCACCCAGATGACAGTTTCAAAAGTCATACTTGAAGTATCATTGCTTAGCAACTTTAAAGCACGTGTGTTTTAAAGGCCTTTTTTTCGCACGCATTTGGGTGTTTAAAACGGAGATTGTGATTCAGGTATAATAAAAAAAGTATTACGCGCACGAACAAACTTGTACCTAAACAGCAAATTTAATTAATAATCAGTTCAGTTGCAGAAAAATGTTATATACCTACGACACGATCGTGAAGTTATTTCGCGCATTGAGACTGAAGGTATTTTAACGAGGCGCTCCTATTATATAAATAACTATTTAATCAAATTAAAGCACCGAAATAGAAAAAAATAGTATGAAAAACACGTGTTACAATGCTTTATTGTAATACGTCGCATTGTAACACTTGTCTTTCAATATACTATTACTATGTAATGTAATGTATGTAATGTAATAAAAGCTAGCCTCTCCATACTCTTTAAGTAAATACTTGAATCATATGTATCCGACACAGAGTTAGTAGATGGAGGGTTATTGCTTAAAAAAATAGTTTCCTACGTTTGTTCATAATTATTATTAGATAAACTGTTATTACAAAAACAAATGGTATTAAATCTATAAACTAATTTCTTTCTCAAAAGCTACATAGACAGATTTACCTGTAAGCACTTTTACATGTTTCAATAATCTTTCCATTAACTTCAACACTTTTGCAATGTTTTTTTAAGTGTTCCTTTCGTTTAAATTTGTACAAACAAAAAGAACATTGGAATTTTGGTTCTTTCCCGCATTCAAACTTGATATGCCTACGTAAGTTGCCTTCTCTGTTATAAGACTTATTACAAGATTCGCAATTATAAATTCTTTGCTCGGCCAGATTATCTTCGAGTGGATAGTCAAATCCTAAAAATAGACATATGTAATTATTATGACAACTAAATAGACACAGAATCAACAGTATTCGAAATGGACCATAATATCGATTTTTTCACTTACTCATTGTTACTCCATCGTAAATTTCTGAACCATTTAATCATTTATTATAGCTTACTTTATTTAAATATGGGGATACGAATAGGTACCTATATTAAATAACATAAATTCACACTGTAATGAGTGTCTATGGCGCTACTATATGCTATATGCATTCTATCTTTCATAGTCGCGTTGTAATTAAATAAGAAAACTAAGTTATTTATTTTAGTTTTTATTTTTCATAAAAATAAGTACTATAGTTCAAGGTATGCACCATGCACAATTTTTTTTAAACATCTACCTGGTCGACGGAGTAGATATCACTTTAACTGCATTTACATCTGTCTAATGCTAATCCACTAGAAACTGAAGTTGAATAATATTAATCCAATCCATCGCGCATCGGGTAATTTGAGCTGTTAAATATGCCTGCGGGTTATTGATGACGTAGTCAGCTAATTAATTCCTTAAAAAATATATTTAATTGCAATAGGTTAATATACCTCATATTTCATTAAAGTTCTGAGGAATATTAAGGTGGAAATAAATACATTTTTTCTAAAAAAAAGTATACATTTGATATGCGTCGTGTTGTGCCCATGTTAGGTAGATTACCTACTATGGTTATAGCCTAAAATGTCGCGCTACTTTGCCTCGCTTTGCGCTATGGCCGTTTTACTAAAAAATCCTCTAAAGTTTGCAATCTTTCTACTTCGTTAGTAATTGATTTAATAATGTAAGCTTCACGCTGCTATTAATTAATTAAATATTGCGCCAGCAGAAATCCGATTCGTTTATTTTAGTAAAAGTTGTAATTCTCATCAAACACAAATCTTAAGGTTTTAGCAATTAATTACTCATCTTCACTGTAAACAAATAAATTCGTTTAACATTTAAATGTTAAGATAACACAACAAACAGTACTGTTTGTTTATGTAAATTAATTTGCTCATTAATTATCTCGGTTATGACTTATGAGTAGCAAAATAATCCTTTTTAAGATTTTTAGGAAAAAAGAAAAGAAACAAGTATGTGAATGGTTTTGTCATTTTCTACAGTGTACATAATTCTGATGCCACCCAAATTTAAAATTCAATTTTAAAGTAACCAACTTACTTGATACAGTGATCCTTGGTATGTCAATTAGAACTACTCTTAATATGTGCATCATGTTTATCCATCATGAAATGTATAAATTTCCAATGTCTATCTAAGTTTACCTTCTGCTTAGCTTTGTATGGGCATAGAGTACAGGCAAAGTTTGGTTTACGGTTACACTCGTATAAGAGATGTCGTTTTAAACTACCCTTGTGTTTATATATTTTGTGACATGTATGGCACTTGAAATCCAGGTAGTGTAATTGGATGTAATCTGAAACATAAAATTAATGTTACAACAAAATGTTTGGAAGGGAAACAATACCCTAATATCACAGCTGGTTGAAAAAAGTCAAAGTTTGCCAGGTAAAAGAATACACGTCAGGCCTCTCATTGCAAATGCAAATATATATCTAGATACAATATTATTTTGTCACTTAGAAGGTACCGACAGTTTATAAATGAACAAATACAAAAACAAGTTAATACAAATGACACAGAGTAACATCTGTAGTTGTTGATTGGTGCCGGTGACAGAATCTGGACCGACACCAATCAACAACTACATAATTTCCATACCAAAATCAATAATTTAATTCAAGATCAATTGATATTATTAATTCTCCGATTAAATCTCATAAACAGAGACAACTACGTTCAACGTGCGAAGACGATAACACTTACACAACGTGCAATCACTTATCAATAAAATTGACATACTAGACTTATTTTTAAATAAACACTGTCCAATAATCTTTAGTGTCTGTGAGCATTGGCTGGTTAATAATAATATACACCTCATCAGTTTAAATAACTATAAAGTTGTTAACCACTTCTGTAGACAACAATCTAGGCATCTACTGTAGTAGATGAAAGTGGACCGTTGTAAGAATACGAAATCTGCGGTCTCATACCGAATAATTAACCGACACAGCATCAACCAATTTATTCAATTATGGATGGACTGACGATGATTCCAAACGGGACACGGGAAATGTGAACTCAACAATTTCCTCGATCAATTCCTTTGGTGTGCCAGCATGGCAAGATAAGAAACGCAAAGTCCCATTTTCATCTAATTTACGAAGAAAGTTAGATAACCTCAAACATCTAAATCAAATTAAAAAACACATAAACAATGTGAGTATTGTTTCGATGTTTAAAAATCTACGAAGGGAAACCAATAACCAAATAAAATTGGAAAAACAACATTATTTCGATAGGATCATCTCTCAGTCTCGTAATAAAGCAAGAACATTGTGGAGTCTAGTCAGCGACAAAAAGGCAGGCCATACAGTAATCCTAACGTCTGACGATAATGATGAAGCAATTTCGAACCCTGTTGGTGGTTAGTAACATTTTCGGAAAACACTTTAGCCGCAGCACACTCATGAATAATAAATATTCGGGTACCACCTCTAAAGCAAATACCAATTTACATATTAGTAAATAGATACAGTATAAGTCCGAATTAGCACGTTACAATATAAACGCAAGTACTGCAAAGTAAATAAGATATTTAACATCGACTCGTGTATGGCATTCTTCAATATGTTTATTACAGATGACAGAAAATTACATTAAATAAATTCATAGAATAATAATTTGCTCCAAAACGTTAGAGAAATAATCACTGGATTATTGTGTTATGTTTCCTTATTATGTGCTGTTTTAAATTTCCCTTCTGCTTAGTTTTGTATGAACATATTAAACACTGGAACTGAGGTGGAAGCCCGCATTCATATTTGATGTGCCTACGTAAGTTGCCTTCTCTGTTATAACACTTATTACATGTTTGGCAATTGAAAAATTTTTGTGGGACCGAAGTATCTTCGATTCGGTAGAAAAATCCTAAAAATAAACACAAGTAGTTATAATGACAAGTAAATCTATTTTGTTCAGACAGAAAAAACAAGTACAGTGTTCGATGTGAACCACAATAATAATAAAAATAAAAAAAAATAATTTTTTGACAGAACACAGAAATTTTCAAGAATTATATAATGCAATAGTACGTGTTTTAATCTCTCGGAATTAAGAGCAACTTTAGTCCTTGGTATATACACATTATTTTTGTACTTTGCTAATGAGCTTTAAATATTAAACTACTAACTGTAAAGAAAGATCATTGTTTAATGTAAGGATTAAGGTATCCTGTAATATTAGTTTTTTTACGTGGTTTCATTTTAGATCCTTAAACACTTTAGAAGATAGTTACATCTATTACTTCCAAACAGTTTATGTGAAATTAATTATTAAATTCTGTTTGATATTCCATTGTCCAACATTTGCAAAATAACTGAGAAGTTTAATTAATATTGACCATGTATCTATGTTTATTACATTAGGAAAAAAATTTACACTAAATAAAATCATAACAATAATTTGTTCCACAAAACTGTCACTGAGGTATTGTGTTATGTTTTCTTATTATGTGCTGTTTTAAATTTCCCTTCTGCTTAGTTTTGTATGAACAGATTAAACACTGGAACTGTGGTGGAAGTCCGCATTCATATTTGATATGCAGCCCCAATGATCGTTTGTATTTGTACATTTTTCCACAGGATTTACATACCAGTTTGTTGCAATCACCTAAAACGTAAAAGCCATATAGCTAATACATTTGAAAAGTATAGATCAATTATTTATCGACCATTAAAGTGTAGCTCGATGGATTTTAATGAAAATATGCTAAAATCACTATCACTGTAGGTATATGTATCATAATTATTTCTATTACTAAAGAAGCAGCTTATAATAAATATCTCTCTTTCTAACACTATATTCGCGTTTTATGTATAACACGGGCATCAAACAATTAATCGAAATTTAATTACAATTTCTGAAAAGATTTGTTACAAAACCGATGAATATAACAACCTAAATGTCTTGGTTTACTAGATCTATTAGATCCATTAGTTCAATTGTTTAATTATTTTTTAAGCTTTTACAAGTTTGCATATGTTTCTTTACATTAAATTTTCTATGTGACTTATACGAACAATACTGGCACGAAAATGCTGGAGGTGTTCCACATTCCTTAACATGTTTCCTAAGATCATTGTAATTTTTATATCTTTTATAACACGTCAAACAAGCATGTGGATTGTGAATGTTTTGCCTCTTTCCCATTATGAACCGTGTAATGTGTAGCGGATTTTCTAAAACAAATAACCACGTTTTCAGTTTTTTCTTATGACAGAACAGGGAGTAATAAAATTGCAATTTATATTAATCAATAACGACAAAGTTACCATGCAAGTAAACTTTAATCATCAAGGCGAAGTTAAAAGCAAATAAAGCAATACATTACTTATGACAACCGTACGTTTTCTTTGATAATACCATGACTACTTTGCAACTGTCTTTTTGATACCTTTACAGGTATACAACGCATGTTTTTTCACATCAGATTTCCTATGTGATTTATACGAGCAATTTTCGCAAGAAAAAGCAGCAGGAGTTCCGCATTCCTTGAGATGCCTTTTAAGATCTTTGTAATTTTTGTACCTTTTATAACATTTCTTGCAAACATGAGGATTTTCCATATTTATCCTCTTCCCCATCATCAACATTTCTAAAGCGTGCTGCTTTTCTGAAAGAAATAAAAACTTTACTACCTATGCAAAAGAAATTTATAACAAAGGTTTGATAGTGAATTATTAAGTAGTTTAGATGAGGAAGAGGAAGAAAACCAAATAAAATAAAAGCGAAAATGGCGGCACAAGGCGTTTATAGTTGAAATGTGAGAGTACGATATAGATATTTATCTTGGAGTGATAAACTGTACCTTGAAATTAAACCAAAGAAAATCACAATCATGCCTAAGATTGAGACAACTTTATACAATTTATAACCCAAGTATAGGTACTATAAATTCTGTCACGGTTATATGCATACTCGTACAACATAAATAGATTTATAAAAATCCATTAGAAATTTAATAAAATATTTATACTTTTCAAACTAAAAGCTATTGTACAGTACCATTAATTACACAGTTCAAAAGTTTATGTCGATTTAGTAAGTGAATCTTTAAAGTTTGTTTCCTTTTGGCTTTGTACTGACATCCTAACACAAAACACGCAAATTTAGGTTCTTTGCCACATTCGTATCTAATATGCTGCATTAATCCTCGTTTCCATCGGTACGTCCTTTGGCATATATGACAGTGATATTGTTTCATCCATTCTTCACTTGCACCTGTAATTAAATGTAATGCTTCAGTGTGTATTCGTATATACATTTCCGTGGAAATCAACAACAGAACCGTATAGCTATTGAGATCGTACATTTTTTAAGTTTTCACGGTCATAAATATTTACACGTGATGAAAACGCAATTTTCGTACGTGAGTTAGCATCTTGCACAAGGTGTCTAACTTCAAATGAAAAGAGGTAGTCTATTTTCTGCCAAAACGATTGTTCCTAGGAAATTTGGAAAATGTTTATTATGATGTCAACGAAGATATTTTTCCCAGAAATACACCAAATTTTTTTTTTGTTAAGCACTCCTCTTTCTGGACAACCTTTGCTAAACAAATTTGTGGTCTTTGTTTCAGTGAATGTTACAAGCCTAAACATCTTTCGAATACCTTAAAAGTCTTGCTTCGAAAGTCAAATTATCATGGTAAAATCAGAGTAACCATGCATCCGGGGGTTACTTTGATTTTACCATAGTTAAGTAAAAAATTCAATTTTGCAAAGATCATTTCTTTAAATATTTAAATAAATACAAAAAAACAGTAGAAAATGTATGTTGTTAGTATAGCGCAATTTTAATGTACGTACGATGTTCTCGCGTATTTCTCAACCCCATCCTTATTCAGCGCACCGCTTCGCCGAATAGATCCGAACACCTACAAACTCATGGCTTTTACCTATCTGCCCAAGGTTAATAGAAAAAGTAGGTTGTCTCGTAACTTTCAGCCAATAAACGTTCAGTATTAAAATACGCGAATGACGTCACCCAGAATCCCATAAAAATTAATTATTAACGCAACAACAGATTAAGTTCAAAAAATGCAAAATGGATCAAAATGGTACTTTACGTGGATGTGCTGAAAAGTTCCTGCATTTCATAAAAAGAAACATGCTGGCGAAAACGCTCTTTATTCAAAATAGCTTATATTTCATCT